ATAATTCTATATTTAAAAGCAAAGTCAAAAATGAGCTCTCACTTCCTCCACGATTCCGGCTGATTGGCTTATCTGAAACGAAAAGAAAAAACGGCGTTCTAATCTTTAAGCCTAAAGGCACGGAATGGACTATTATCAAATGAATATACAAAAAATTGGACTTTTGGTAGACATTTGAAATAAAAGTTGCAAATTTTGCGTTTTTGTTTTTGTTTTTGTTTTTTGCTATAAAAAAATCGAAATTTTGAAAATTTTCGATTGATAATAGTTCATTCCATGCATTTACATGTGTTTAGTGTGTCCTATAAATTTCAAGACATTCGGTCAAGCCGTTTTTGAGATACGATGGAGGAAAGTTTGAAAAACACAGTTTGAGAAAAACGCGTTTAAAGTTTCAAGTCCATTTAAAACTATGAAAATCTCAACTTACCCTCAATCGGCGATGCCTGGTCCATAGAGTATTCCTTCCTCTTCCTCTTGAAACTCTTTTAAAGCAAATTATTCAGCTCTTGAGTCAATCCTGGCTTGTTTAACGACATCACTTATGCGTCACTCAGAACATGAGATTCGCTTTTCATCACGTTTCTCAACATACGTATGGGCTTCGCGGCCAATGGGGCATCCCATAACCGACATTACTTTTAAAACACCTTCAAAACCTTCATTAAAGATGATAACTGATAAGTAGCTAGTAATTTCAACAATTTTGGGGCCAGAATGAAGATGCTTAGGAGCAAAAGTCCAAATCAACGAATTCAAAGATTCGTTATTGTTTTGTGTCACTGCTCCTAAACAACGAATTAATAATTCGTCTTTCGATAAATCTTYGAAAACCGRWTTGATAGCTACTTGTACTTCTGGTATTAGAGGTGGTTTATCGTGATGAAATTGGTCGAGCTCATTCTTAGCTTCTGCCTTACGCTATTTACACCAACTGTCTTCGCCTTCTGGACAAAATTGATGTTGAGGGTTTTCATCTGAAAAATATTTGTGATAATACGTTGCCCAAACTTCCTTTTTCATATCTTCAAGCGAATCTGGATGACGTCGAATAGCTAATCCGTAGAATTTCGTTGTTTCTTGAATAACTTTATCAGTAAGTTTAATAACTATAGAAATTTCTGTTTAAGCCTGTAGAAACTTGTCTAAACTTGTATAAATGTATATATGTATAAAAGGGGGGCCAGGTATAAAGTCGACGGTACACAATAGGCCCGACCCCAACTGCCAACTCAGCGCTTCGAACAGCTCTTTCTTCTACCTGCTGTATCTTTAAAACGACTTCGAATTGTCAAAAATCACTTTACTACCGTATTCTAGACATGTTAAGAAAGCAATTTATGAAAAAGAAAAATCGATTTTTTGAGCCCATCACATGGGATGACCCCCTTAAAGGGTGCAGTGAAGTTATCGAGTATGACGATAGACCGGAAACGATAACAGAAGTTGAGTGGAAAACTTAATTTCAGTGAAACAAACATTTTTAAGTATTTAAGAGGTTTGTATATATATGTATATATTCAACAAATTAAAATTTATTTAATTTTTATTATTGTTTTTTTAAATAGATGTCATGCAAAAAAAGTTTGGCGATTCAGACCAAATGAAAAATTTTATCCCTAAAACAAGCGTTTTTCTTGCAAACNAGGTTAGATACAGTACTTCCTTGCAAGTGCGTTACCATTCGAAATTTCAAGCACGGAGTACTGCTATTGCCATCTTTGATGAAACAGCGAGAACTTATTCAAGGTCCTAATAGAAACTTGTCAGTTCTGTAGTGGCGCTGAAGTTAACGAAAGGTTTATTTCTATTACTTTTTTACTTTAAAAAAAAATATTTTCCAGTACATTAAATTTTTATAATAGACAGGTATATACTTGTCGTACGAAAAAACAAAAAATTCTTGACTGATGAAAATATTTGAAAAAACAAAACATTTTTTATATATCAATTTTCTTGAATCAACAAAATTTTTTTTGCTCCAAGAAAATTACCACTTATTACAAAACAACCTTGGTCATTCTTTAAATTGTCTTAGCTGGAAAAAATTTGTTGTGTAAAATAATCAAAAAATGAAGGTAAATTTAAAAATCGATTTCTTGTAATAACTTTTGATATTTCTTGTATGAAGCTTTATAGCTATTTTGGAAGTACATTGACGCTTATATAAATTCTTCGTTAACTTATCTTATTGTCATCATTTTTGTCACTTACCAGTTTTAAGGTACAACTGAAAATTAATATATTAAGATTTAATGTTTTACTATTTTTTAAATAGATGTTTAACCGCATGTCAAGGCATTTTACTATCCGATAAAAAATATAAACGATTTAAAAGAGAATATATGTGTTCGGCTTGTCGTACATTACGGAAGAGGTTATTAATATCTTCAAAGAAAAAGAAAGAAGATGTAAACTTCATACGAAACAAAAACGCTTACGTCGTCGTACTATTGAGTCGGTATATGAATGTTATGATTCAAATTAAGGGGACGTTCCACTCTGCAATTTTGAAAAAATCTAATTTTTTTTTTTACATTTTTTGAATGTATATATATGTAGAAATATTGTGTTAAAATTTTAAAAAGATCCGATGTCTCTAACTACATTTTTTTGCTGCCTGAACGTCACTATCTCGGACCGCTCTCCTGAGCGTTCGACGCGCACAGTCGACTCTTATCTTGTTTAATCGAGAAATTAGGTTTGCGGTATGGTTCTTATATCGGCTACGGAGACTCCAAGACTTTTAAAATGCTGCTTTATTATCATCCATACGGTGAAGATTTCATTGTTAAAAAATTGGAGTGTATTTTGCATGTGGCAAAACGTATTTTCAAGCGTGCTAATGAGGCAAGAAAAGCTCTTATACAAAAGAAGAAAATTCAAAAGAAAAACGCCGAATCGCAGAAAAAAAAGAAACAAAAACGGTAGCAAAAACAGTAGTGAAGAAAAAAGGGCTGTTGTGAAAAAAGTTCCTGAAGTAAAAACTCAAAATTTACAATCAAATTGATGAAAGAACTCTCAGAGATCTACGGTTTATCAGTCAGAAGAAATTTGAATTCTTCATAGGATATGCGTAACGAGATTTGGGCAGGATACTACCACAAAATTTCGACTGATACCAAGCCGAAGCATTCTAAGTGTTCCATCGACCGGTGAAAGTACCTCAAAGCTAAGGCATATGGCACCTAAACACATGTTTAACGGCAAAAAAGTTGTTGAAATTGCGTGCAAAGTTTCTGTATGTATCTTCAACGAAAGATTCCGAACAGTGAAGAAGATAAAGGAAACGATGGGCATGAAACTTGGGCCAGGAGCGATCGACTTTGCTAAAAGACGCGACGACCGACGCATCGAATCTGCGAACCGTCGAAGCTCTGAATGCTCAAAAGATGCCAGATCAAAGTGGAAGAAGGCAAAACTGGAAGAAATTGAAGAATTTGAACAAGAAGAAGGTCTTTTGTACGGTCCAGGCATCGTAGATTAAGTTTAGGTAAGAATTTTTCATGATTTTTAGTAAAAAAAACTTTAAACGCGTTTTTCTCGAAACGACGTTTTGAAATACTAGCTCCATCGTATCTCACGAACCAGTAAACCGATTCTTATAAAATTTAATCCACATATTCTACACATGAGTTGTAAAACAAAGTGACGCTAAATCTTTTCTTAATTTTAATTTTTACTATTTATTTTTAGTCAAAAACAACGAAAAAAAGTCATTTATAACGTTTTTTTGTAATTTGTCCACCATTTTTTTATTTATTGATAAAATTTCATATATTTGCGTCACTTTGTAGCTGAAGTCATGCAGAATATAAAACCATTTTATTTTTATGTTTCAGGTAAGCTATTCTCAAGTTCTGATGGAGCTACCAAAGCACTAAAGTTTTGAGGTGTTTTTTAAAACTATTGTTTTTGTAATAAAAAATTAAATAAAATGAAAAAACAAAAATTTATTTATGTAGTTTAAGACTTAATTTAACAAACYCAACAACTTTTAWRTCGGTATCTTTTATAGTTTTCTTGGAAAAAATTCGCGAAAATAGCCTTTTTTTTGGGTGCTTCGGGTGGAACGTCCCCTTAAAGGTCCTGCGGTCTATGATAAATTACGCGAATATAATATATTACCATTACCTTGCAAAGACACATTGAACAGATATATTAATAAACTAGACACACACACACGCACACGCACACGCACAGCGCATTTGGTTTCCCCAAAGCAATATTTGATACTCTTCGTTTGAAAGCATCACGAATAGATAGTTGGGCAAAAAAGGCTATAATTTATTTTATGACCATTCAAATAAACTTTGGCTGTACTAATATCTTTTTTAATTGAAAACTAACAATAAAATGCTAAATAATATTGCTATTTTTTACTTCATTAATATATATTTTCAAAATTAGCAAATAACAAAATCTACAGCTTCATTAGCATAAAGCAACATCAACAATATGTTTAAATTGAGATTCTAAATACCCATTGATACGTAAATATATTGCAACAGAGATAATAATATTTAGTTTATCATTGCTGCGAGTAGTTCTGTTAAAAAACTAATCAAATGAACAATCATGATATTAAAATCTATTACATATTAACTCAACCGCTTATCACAGGCTGAAAATGCTTTTTTTGTTGCTTTAAATACTGTAGAATAGTCATTCCATTTTGAGTGAAATATTTATCTTTTTTTATTTATTATTTTTGCAGATACTTTATTATTTGATAAAGTTTCTTTTAAGGGGTTATATACAGTTAGAATTTTCAAAAAATCGATTTTTTTTTTATTTTATTTTCTTAATGTACATATATTTAAGAATACACACAGAAAATTTCATATAGTTCCGGTGAATATTTTCAAAGTTACAAGCTAATTTGAAAAGGCGTTTCAGAGTGCTTGGAAGTACAAGGTCGGAGCGGCAGCGACTACCTGGAACGCTATCCCTTTTATGCACCTGCCTATTGTAAATTTTCCCTTCTAATGTATTTAGATGTGTAAAGCAACAGTGCGTTAGTGTTTTGCTATACCTGAAATGTAAATTTGTATTTTTCTAACCCCAAACTGGAAAATATTTAAGAGTGGTAGTCAGTATAAACAACAAAGCCAAGCAGTAAACTTGTGAGTTTGTTCATATTTTTTGTGTAATTTTTCGTGAAAATGAAGGCTTCCAGAGAAATCAGAAAATCTCTTAACATACGTAAGTCGAGAACAAAAAAGCGCAAAAATGTTTTTAATCCAAAAACAGCTGAAACGGATGAAAGTAGTTTCAGTGCTTCGGCGAAAAAATTTTCTTTAACAAGAGGAAATCTCAGTTCCACGTGATCCGTCTATTGAGTATCGCATTTTAAATTTTATTACAGTATTTGCAGCAATTTCTGAATATGTGAAATGTAAGATCTGTGACGGAAATGTCAAGTTTCAAACTGCTTCTGAACGAGGACTTGGTTTTAAAATTGTTTTGCTGTGTGATAAGTGTGCAGATCGTAACATAAATTCTAGTCCTTTTGTCGCGCATTCTTATGAAATAAATCGACGATTTTTATTTGTCATGAGAGTCCTCGGATTAGGGTTAAAAGGTGCAGCAAAATTTTGTGGATTAATGGACATGCGAGCCTTTATATTACAGCCCACTTACGATTTGATAATAGATAATATTCACTCCAGTATAAAAACAGCCACCGAAAAACTTTTTCAAAAGGCTTGTACTGAAGAAAAACATTTGACTTCCGAACATCAAGGCAATGAAGATTCGACAGAATTAACTGTATCTGGCGATGGTACATGGAAAAAGCGAGGGTTTTGTTCCTTGTACGGTGTGACATCATTGATCGGATACTATTCTGGTAAAATCATAGATATTGTTGTGAAAAGTTCCTACTGCAAACAGTGTGAAACTTGGAAGAAGAAACTCAGTACCGAAGAATATAAGGAATGGTATACAGAACATGAAGATACTTGCACTGCAAATCATTCTGGTTCTTCTGGGAAAATGGAAGTTGATTCAGTCATCGAAATGTTCCAATGTTCATTGAAAAAACTTGGAGTCATGTACAAAAATTACATCGGAGACGGTGACTCCAAAACGTACTCAGGAATTTTAAAGGCTGCACCTTATGGTGATCAAGAAGTTGTAAAAAAAGAATGTATTGGACACGTACAGAANTATGTGTACAAAATTATATTTTAGGAGGGAGAGCATCGATACTTTCTAGAACTACTTTTACTAAATGTGGATTTTTAAGAGGTTTGTATATATATGTATATATTCAACAAATTAAAATTTATTTAATTTTTATTATTGTTTTTTTAAATAGATGTCATGCAAAAAAAGTTTGGCGATTCAGACCAAATGAAAAATTTTATCCCTAAAACAAGCGTTTTTCTTGCAAACGCTGGTGATCGGGATCGAGGTCGGAAAATAAGAGCTACTAATGCTGCAAATCAACATAGCAATAATGAACAAATAAACTATATAAATTAATATGGTTATATTAGTTCTTAAGTTACTTTAAAAAATATAAAGAAGCATCTTTTAAATAAATTTTATTCTATTCTTATTCTAATTATTATATTAAATTTTTGTTATTATTCAACTTTATCCTAATAATAATCGACAAATCGGCTGATGATCGGCCGATGATTGGTTTGATGATTGGCCGATGATTGATTCGATGCTTGGCCGATGCTTGTTTGCCAGGCTTGACCTGGCGTTATCATTCGGGCCATCAGCCATGCTAGGCCCAATCATGGTATCCTATTATCGGCCGATGATTGACTATCGGCCGCCGTGCATGGTCCAATGATGGGCCGATTATAATTCTTTGAATGGGCTAGCGGAGTGGCTATTCAAAAAGCTTACAAAGCTTTTAGTGCTACAATTTGCGATTTTGCAATTGTTATTAGTGGATGCACAATTTTGCATTCACAAACGTCTTACAGCATGTCTGAATTAGGTAAAATCAAAATATTCTTTTACATATATGTAGGAGAGTTTTAAGCGTCGAAGATGTAGACGAAAAACTAGTATTCAGTTCTTTTCTTTATATCTTATTTTCCGGAAAGGAAAATTCTATAATTCTTAGGTTTGTTTATGGTTTTATGGCCTCCCTAATCTTTCCTTTTAGTCTCTGAATAGTAGTCCAGTCAAATTAGGAAAAAATCTCGGAATTTGAGATATCAAGCTATAAACTCGTATAAACTTGTATTTTGACATTCTAAAAGTTGCCTCAAAACCTACCTATGATAGGATAATGTCCGCGATTATTAAAATCCTAAGGTCAAAGGTCACAAAAATCGATTTTTTGCAAATATCTCGTTTCCTATGGGGTTTTCGCTATTTGTATTTATTATCAATATTGTAGAGGATTAAATTCTCTACAACTTTTGTTTAAAAAATTTTTTGATACGTTGAATCGTTTTCGAGATAGAGGGCGTAGAGCGCGCGGTTAGAGCATCATTTAAGGTCAACCGATAGTCCCGGTCAAAAACACGCCATACACAGTTTATTAATTATTGATAAATACATAATTATTAATAATTTTCATTTCCTATTAACTATTACTGTTAAGAGTAGCGTATATAAGAGACGTTATGTCTTCTCACTCCGTCACCCCTACTCTTTACCCCTACTTCTCCTATCGGCCGCACAGTCCCTTAGTACGGGGTGCTGTTACGCCCTGCCGGTATTCTGTATTCTGTATTCGGCCTAGCTCGAGGCTTATTCAACAGTTCTGTCTTTTCAACGTTCTTATTTTTAATATTAACTCTGCGTTGTCTTATTTATCAGCCATACCTTAACAGGTTTTGAGCCCCAGACACGCTTACACTGCGCAAGCGAACGAAAGTTAATTAGTTTAATAGTGAATTTTGAAAGACAGAAATCCAACCTAGTTATCGCCGGTTCGCACGTGTGTGTACTTGCACCAGTGTTCCATTGAGTAAGGAAAAGAAGTAAACACCTTCTTAAATCTCAGCTTCAACTACTTCAGAAGCAGCCAAAAAAAAGGGAAAATATACCGACAGAAATCCACGTATCTGTACAGCGTTGGCACGAGGAGATAAGAATACGCAAAGAACAATGAAAACGCAAACATGGGTGAGACAAAAGAGCAGGGTAGTCAAGGGCTACTAGCAAGTCTAGGTGAAAGTAAGTACATATTCGATAATTGTTTTTATCGAAAGCTTGTTCGGAAAAATAATAGTAATACATATATTAAAAAAAAAGTAAAAAAAAGTTAGTACATGTTCGATAACTGTTTCTTATCRAAGGTGTGCTTGGAAAATTAATAGTAAAATATATATATCATAAAAAAAAAAGTAAATACATGTTTGATAACTGTTTCTTATCAAAGGTGTGATTGGAAAATTAATAGTAAAATATATATATATTAAAAAAAAAAGTAAATACATGTTCGATAACTGTTTCTTATCGAAGGTGTGCATGGAAAATTAATAATAAATTAATAATAAAATATATATAAAGGAAAAAAGGTAGAAAAGGTGTGCAAGACTCTGAGCTCTTGTAAATCTTTATTCTTTCTTCTCTCTCTTAAAATCGTGTTACAATTTAAAACAATTTATAAATAAAAAAAAAAAAAAAGGAAAAAAAGGGAGAGAAAAATTAATACATAAAAGGGTTTCCGTTCAAAAAGGTGAAATTAAAAAAAAGGAGAAAAAGGAAGAAAAAATATTGAAAGTTGCGCCATATAAATATTTCTAGAACAATAGATACGAATGCTTAAACGTGTTCGAACTAGAAGACGCTNTGTAGCTCTTTTTCAAATAAATATTTTTACTAGTACTAAGTCTTAAAATACAGTTAAAAGATACCATAATATGTGTATAAATTTTTGGATCAATAAATTTAAAAGGTTTCTCAGAAAAAATTCTGGAAAATTCACTTTTTTTCGGCCGTCTAACTGTATATAACCCCTTAAGTGATGCGGTAAAATAAAATACTAGAACAATGGAGTTCAATGGCTTTGCCAATTTAGACGATTATACTCCTCAGCATTTAATAAATAAAAGAACTGACCATGCACTAGATTTTATGTATCAATTTTTCCGGTGTTCATGGGTTCAAATTCTGAGATACTTTCTGAGTAAAACTGCAGTAACGAAATAAATTTTACATAAACTAATTATCGATTGTATCATTCAATTAGAAAATGTGGGTATGAAAGTAGAAGTAGTCACCTCAGATGGTGCTCAATGGAACCGTGGCGCATAGAGAATTGTTGGTACTGAAGATCAAAAATTCAGTTGCATTCATCCGTATGATACGTTTAGACAACTATGGTTTATGTCTGACTTTCCTCATTTTTTGAAATGCGTTCGCACCAAAATCCTTGAAGGGCTATCGTTTTGGATAAGATTTAGAAATGTTTTTTGTGATTATCATTACAGTATTATATTATTTTCAGACTCCAGATAGAATCGTCAAAAAAAGTCATTGAGTGGTTTTATATCAACATGAGCTTCAATTTAGATCCAATTTAAAAGTATTCTATAAATTAACACCGCAATATATAAACCCAGAAGGATATCAGAAAATGAATGTACGTTTGACTGAAGAGGTACAATAAGTTTCAAAGATTACATTGTTTTATTAATATTTTAAAGAAGCTTTTTATCTGAAGAACATGAAGCTTCCGAGCAAGTTAATCATAAATTTTTTATCAGGAAATTAAATTTTGTTTAATTTTGAATTTCAATTGGAAAATAATTGAAAACATGAAAATTATAGAAATACATTTTGTATTGTCTACTCTTAATATTGCTTTTTTATTACATTACAAAACAAAAATAATATCATAAACCTTCAATAAATATTTTCTTTTAGTTATTTTCAAAGCTTTTAAGAATTGCCATGATGACGTAGCAAACTGATTGTATTGAATTAAGGGATTGTGGACCTACAGTGAAGTTTATGTGGAAAGAGTTGACAATTTAATTAAGACGATGTCTTCTCGCACTCCAGAAAACGCTTTAAAACCTTATGAAAAATACCTACGTTATTAATGATAATGTTCATGAAAATCAATTTGCATTTCAGTGAAAACTTGAACGGGTATCGAATCCTTGTAGGTACAAGGATCAGATGAGTTGCCAATGAACAAAATAGATATGATTGTTTTCAAATCTATTTAAAATATTTCTTCTTCTTCTTCTCTCTTTCAAGTAGGCACAATACCTGTTCTTCATCGCGACGCGCTTCATATAGTCAGACTGTCGCTCCAGCGCTTTCGAGGTCTTCCAACGCTTCGTCTCCTCGATGGTGACTTATCTCGGGATATTTTGACCACTCGGTCATCAGTCATGCGAGTGATGTGGTCATTCCGCTCAACTTTTCTGCTTAATACCCAGTCGTTGATGTTCTCGATCTGGCATGCTTTCCTAAGGCCTTTGCTTCTTACTCTGTCCCATAGTGATTTCCCAGCTATTCTGCGAACTATCTTCATTTCAGTTGCTTCCATGATTTGAAGTGTTTTAGATGTTTTAGGTCTTGTTTCTGCCGCATATGTTAGTATACGCCTTATAGTGTTTTTGTATATACGCGCTTTTGCATCTATTCTTAGGTGCTTATTTCAGAATATGGTGTCGTTTAATAGTGAGGCTGTTCTTGCTGCCTTGATGGCTTGTCCTCTTACTTCTGACTCTATGTCACCGAAGCTCGAAATTTGTATGCCTAAGTAGTTGAATTCCATCACTTGTTGTATTATTTTGTCATTGACAACCAATTTACATCTTAGGGTTGTTTTAGATGTAGTAATGCACTTAGTCTTGGATGTTGATATAAACATCCCGAGTGTCTTAGCAATTGTGTTGAACATATACAGGAGCCTTTGCAGGTCATCCTCATTTTCCGCTATCAGGACTGCATCGTCGGCGTAACACGAAATTTTTATCTCACGGTTCCCCATTCGATATCCTCTTTGTTCGCGCACCTTCTTTATGATTTCATTCATTATAATATTAAAAAGTAGGCTCAGTAAGTCACCTTGTCGAATACCTCTTTCCACCATTATGGGTTCTGTGAGTTCGTTGTTTATCTTTGCCTGTATTCGCCTGTAATCTGATAGATGTCTTCAATAGTTTTAATGATATTACTTGGTATTTGTCTATCATATAGAAGGTGCACTATATCCTCTAACCGTATCCGGTCAAACGCCTTTTCTAGATCTATAAAACAGAAAAATGCTGATTTATTGTATTCTATGGACTTTTCTGTTATTTATCTGATCACAAACACTGCATCTGTGCATGATCGCCCAGTTCGGAAACCTTGTTGTTTATCAGCTAATGTGATTCGCTCGTTTATCAGGTTCGTTATTACTTTGGTCACTAATTTCAAGGTGGACGACAGTAGATTTATTCCCCTGTAATTCGCGGGTACCTTCTTGTCGCCTTTCTTAAAGAGAAGGATCGTTGTGCTTGTCCGCCACTCGTTGGGAATTTTTTGTTGTTCAAAAATTTTTTGCGTTAAGACCGTTAACTCCTGAAGCAATCTTTCGCCGCCTTACTTGAGCAGTTCGTTAGTGATATCATCCTGACCCGGACTTTTTCTATTTTTGAGCTTATTTAGTGCTTTTTTTTATGTCCGACTCATTTATTGATATCTGGTCGTCTATTACTACACTCGGTGCTCGTTATTGCATGGGTGCACCTTTATACAGGTCTTTAAGGTAACTGGTCCACGTTTCCTTACTAATTTGACTAGCGGGTATTAACTCGCTTGTTTCTTTCTTTTGGCTTCTTATGAATCGCCACATCTGTTTCTGGAGCCCGTAAAAGTCTTTTTCTAGTCGCTTTGAAAAGATCTCCCAGTACCTGTCTTTTAGTTGTCTCACCATAGTATCGGTTTCGTTCCGAATTTGTTTATATGCGTTATATGACTCAGCAGTTCGGGTTGTTAGATACTTTAAGTATGCTTCTCTCTTCTTTCTGCATTGATTTTTGACTTCTTCGCAGAACCATGGTGTTTTATTTTTTGTAAAACCTTGACTTTTGTATGTTGTTGTTCCTACAGCTTCCATGGCTGCAGTTCTGATATTTGTCTTTAGTTTGCTTCAAATTGTGTTGAGATCGTTCAAGTTGGTGGTTGGGTGCAGTTCAATTCTTTCCTCTAATCGTTTCCTGTACAGATCTCGGATTGTTGGTTCTACCCTAATTTTTTCCCTTGCTCTGACTGGGTGTTGTTTTCTTTTTCTTTGAAGCTATACTTTAATCCAAATTGCCAAGGAGTAAAGCATGATCGCTTCCCAAATGAGCTGAGTTGATTACTCTGACATCTAAAATTTCGGAAGGTGGTATGCATCTGTTCGTCACGACATAGTCAATCGTTGACTTTTGACCACGGGTGTTACCAAACGTATATTTGTATTGGGCTTTATGGTTGAAGTAGGTGTTATTGATTCTAAGCCATGTCAGAGAACAGAGGTTGATCGTAAGTTTCCCGTTATCGTTAATTATGTGTTCATTGAACCGTTGCATGATTCCGAAGATTGGCTCGTTACCGATGCGAGCATTAAAATCTCCGAGGATGAGAATTGATTTCCTTGGTGGTATTGACTTCACGATACTCTCAAGTTCGTTAAAAAAGATTTCCTTCTCTTGTTTCGGCTTGTTGTCTTCTGGCGCGTAAACCGATATTATATGTAGAGGTTGTGGTTCGGTCATCAACTTTAACCTTTCTATACGTAGGGATATATATATTGGCATTTTTCGACTTGGTTGGTGTATTTCTTATGTAAGGTAATAGCCACACTTTCCTTAGCTCTTTCGTTCTTGTCAACACCAGTATATATTACCATGTATTCCCCGTATGCTTTTTGACCTTTGTCTTTTTTCTTTGTTTCCTGTAATGCAGCAACGTCTATTTTTAGATTTTTCAACTCTTCTGTTATTTCTTGCTCATTGTTGTTGAATGTTTTGACAGTCCAGGAAGCTATTCTTAGGATATTTTTCCTTTTCCATCTAGCTGCCCTTTTTCGTGCCTGGGTCGTTTTCCGTATATCAGTCCTAATCCGAGGCGATTCTGCGGTTCTGTGAGCGTGTTATATGTTTTACGTCAGGCAGGGAGCTAACCTAACCTAACAACACTCATCCTTTATCCGGGCTTGGGACCGGCAACATGACCATTGAGCTACTCAGGCGGACTTAAAATATTTCTAAATAAAATATTTAAAAATATATATTATAAATATATTATATAAATATAGAGTCTAGAATAGGCCTAGTATTGGAACTTTGGTCGTCCGGGATAAAACTTTTGAGTGGGTTAGCAACTTCAGGTATTTAGGATCGATCATAAACCAGACGAACGAAATTTCTGTAGATACGTGTATCTACAGAAACGTAATAAAACTTTGTGTGTGTGTGTGTCTCTGCGCCTCCCCCGTCGTCGCTTACCACTGTATCTTCATATCTTTAGCGTTGTTTGTATAATTTTTTTAAAATAAGGTGGGTAAAATGATGATAAAGGACTGAGATAGTATCAATTTTTAGGGCGGGGGCCAATCTTCGATTCGAACTGGATGAAATATAATTAGGATCAAACTTTACTTATAGGTAAGTTCGTTTGATCATTCAATTATATTTCATCTAGTTCTTAATATTACTATAAAATTTTAGAGGTTTAGCAAAGAAAAAAAAATTTTTTTTTTTTTTTTAAACATACAAATACAGACATCAATTTTTCCTTTTTTTTTATCTTAAAACTTAAAAAAAGAGGTTAAATCTTGTAACAATTATCTTATTTGCTTATTTTACGAAACCTAATAACAATATACATGCCGACAATAAGAGAACTCTTGAACTTATATCAATGAAGTAAAGATGAAGGTTAAACTAGTCTTATTAGAATCAAGAACTACTAAAGCGAAATCTTCTTGGTTTGAAGTCATAATTGGTCTATCATAAAACCTTGTAAAGGTTTGAGACTTGGCAGACCAGCCTGCCGTTCTTCTAATCGTATCAATATCAATTCCTTGAGATTTTGCTTTTGATGTAGATGCACCTCTAATGGAGTGTGCACTAAAGGTACTAAGATCAATTTCACTCCTTTCCAGAACCTTTTTTGCCCATCTACTAATGGTTTGTGCACACACCTCCTTGTGTGGTTTTCTAGTAGCTATAAATAATTTCTCGGCATTGGATCTCAAAGTACTAGACTTCTTAATGTAGAAAAGTACGGCTGATGCTACGCAAATCTTTGGATTAGGAGTGAAAAAAGGGAGACAGAGCAACGGCTGATGTTGAAATATTTTCCAGCTTAATACTAGCAATTGTTCGGGCTCTGTGACCCGTACATAATAAAATAAGCATGACTACCTTATGCATAAGGAGACTAAACGAGACTTTTTCTAACGGATAAATGGATTCGAGGTAATTCAGTACCAGAGAAACATCCTACGTAAATTCGTATTTTAGCAATGAAGACCGAATCTTGGCCGAACCTCTCATAAATCTGGAAATCAAAGCAACTTCTCCAATTTTATCCTTGGATATTCAAAAAATAGCGCATCTCAGCGAATTAAGTGAGCCGTATTTGGCGCCCTCATGAAATTTATCAGTCAGAAAATCAAGAACCGATTCAGTATCCGGGTTAAAGGCATCCTTGCCTTTAGTCTTGCAATACTTAAACCAAGGCTTCAGAGCTGAGTTATACTGACTTTCAGTAGATGCTGAGAGAGAAGCCGTTATAATATCAACGGTCTTTGGTGGAATATTCCTCTTTAAGAAGGATTCCCTGATACCATTGCTACAATCAGAGCCAGATGCCTTGCTTTCGGATGTCTTATCGACCTACAAGGAGATATTAACAAATCATTTCTTGGTTTTAGAGTTAATCACTTTATAGTTAGGGACATTAGTAACGGGAACCACGGTTGGCTAGGCCAATCTGGTACTACCGAAATACCTGTAGCCTGCTCCTGTCGAATTTTTGTTAACGATTTTAGAATAAGACAAAATGGAGGAAATGCATACAAGTAAAAGGAACTCCAATTTATAGTAAAAGCATCTATTACATAGGCTTTGGAGTTCGAAAACCAAGAACCAAACTTTTTACATTAGTTATCGTTTTGATTAGCAAAAAGATCTATCTCAGGATAACCAAATTTCTTGATTATAATATCAAAGGCCTGAAAACACAATTCCCATTCAGTGTCCAGATTCTTAATACGCGATAGCAAGTCCGCCTAAACATTATCCCCAGATGCAATGTATGATGCAAAAATAAAGATCTGTCTATCTTGAGTCCATTGCCAAATTTCTCTAGAGAGGTCATTAAATTTTGAGAATCGAACACCCCCCCATTATATTTATGTAGGCAATAACTGTTGTATTATCTACACGTAATAATATTTGACAGCCAAAAAAATGAGAAGCAAGGCTCCCAAGAGCCAACTTAATCGTAAGAAGCTCTTTGAGATTAATGTGAAGGGTCTTCCTTCTGATCCTTACTTCAAAAACCAAAAACGCTATTGACACCATCTGTGGCTTCCCACCCAGAATCCGATACATCAGAAAAAATAGTCACTTCATATTCTATTGATCTTATTTTACCTGCCGAGGTTTTCAGATGTTTGATCCACCAACATAGATCTTGTTTGATAAACTTTGGAATCGAGACTACAGTATGAAAGTTTCTATCATAAATTAATAGGAAAAGAACTTTGAATTGCTCTAGTTTCTTTGTGTACATCCAACCAAATTCGATTGCAGGACAAGTGGCAACTAGTTTTTCTATCAGTCTGGAAAGATCCAAAATGGAGCAGGCTGTTTTATTGAGAAAACTCTGCAAGAGATGTGCGAGATCTTTTCTTTTAGACTCTGGCAATTCGATTGTAATGAATGCTATGTGAATTGCTACTGTGTAATAGGCATCTTTAACATCTGTCATACACATAAAACAATTTGGGAAAATAAGTTTCGTAGCTGTGCGCAGATCTTCCATTTTAAAATACTGGGTATCTATAAACTCATTTAGGTTTTTCAAATTCAGAATGAATCTGTATGAGCCATCCTTTTTTGGAATCAAAAAGAAGGGAGAAAGAAACTGATCTGGGTGTGGTTCACACACTTCGATAGCGTCTATACGTACCAATTTCTGGATAGCAGTATTAAACCTATAAAAATCCTTACTGTCTATCTGAACTTTTGGAGTAGCAAACTGAACAGGCTTTAATTTAAACGGAATTACATAACCTCTGACAACATTTAAGATATGTCTATCCGCCGTTAAATTTTTCCATCTCTGAAAAAAGTATGGAAGTCTACCTGATCTTACATTTATTTCTTCTTTGAGTTGGTCTTCCTGGGTTGGCTGGATCGGTTGAAAAGATGATTCTTGTTCTTGAGAAACTGTCCCTTGCCTCTCTCTTGATTGAGATCTTGATTGTTTGAGAGAGGTTTCCTTTCTTGAGACCGGTTCCATCTGGGAGATGGACCCCACCCCCGCTGGCCCCGATATGAAAAAGGGCTCTTGTAAGAAGAGGAAGTCGTTGGTTTCTGGGTGATCTCCTGTGAGAACTTAGATAATGCTTTTGATTCTTTAACACGTTCAGTGAGATTCGTTGCATACAAATATTCGCCAAACTCAGCTTTTTTCATAACCTCTGCCATTTAAGGTTTTAAATTTGGAATATAAACATTCGCTCTCCTTAACGACGAAATAGCATGATGAGATTGTAACGCCAACTTGGCTGCGTCATTTAGATACTCGACTATACTATATTTGCCGCAATCTTCGAGCATAAGAGTACTTAATGTGGAACCAATAGCCATAAGTGAGGATCTTATAAGATTCAGCAATTTACAAAACTTATCGTCTCTCTTAACGCATCTTGATGAGACCGAAGATTTAACCTCATGGTTCAGTTTTTTAGCTTCAAATTCAGGTATTCACGATTATTTCTTCTGAAGCTCATCTCTCGTTTCCTTCTTTAATCCCTTGTTGACTAACTTGTGCCAGGAAGAAATTAGGGTCTTGTCGATGACTGGCTTATTGTCCTCCACCTCAACGCCATCAATGCCCAACAATTGGAGCACTCCTTGTTCCTTCGGCATTTCTTCTGCCTCCGCCATCGCCTCATTATTCGAGATCTCCTCAATGCTTGAAACAGGCGTCTTATTATCTGTAATAAAATAGCAAACTAAATGACTCCGTATAATGCAACATACAATAATAAAACTTTTGTTATGTGCATCTTTTGTCACGATAGACAGTAAACTTTGCCTAATTAGCAACAAGAAATAAAAAACACGCTGCACTGAAGCACACTGATTCTTTAGACGATTATGTTATAGTGTATTTTTACACTTTGACACAAGATTATGTAATAATCTCAATATATGAGAGCTTATCATTTATCAGTCATAAACAAAGATGCACTAAAGCACTCATAATTGCTAATCAATTATAATCATTGGCTTGAACTCTTATATTAATCTTGAAAACAAGAAACATTAAGGTATGCGTTTTCAAATAACGCTTATACTTGCAGGACTCGTCGTTCACAATAGTACTAAACTAGTACGAAAAAGGGTAAACGTGCGAAAGTGTTACCACACTATGTCTTAGCTGCTCGGCAGTTCGAGACATTAAAAGAAAGAAAGAGCTAGAGCGCTAGGCTTCTCCTAGATGGCGTTTTCTGTATGACGCAATTTTGCTATAA